AAAAAAATATACAATTGTTGACTTTGGGGTTGATTTTGGGTGTGTTTCTATGTTTAAATAATGTTTGGGTTTTTTTATAAATACATATCTAGGATTGGGTTTATTTATAAATTTGTAAAAAAAAAGTCATTGATATGCTACAAATGATGAAGTATTAATTAGAAATGAGGGACTTAATGATATGCTTGAAAACCGTCATATTGACTTATTTGAAGTTTGGTGGGAAACAATGTAAATATGCAGGAGTATTATGACCTTTTATATCTTACGAGGCATTTTAGTTTGAATTTGGGTTTTATACATTGATTTCAAAATTAATGGGTTGGTTGATGTCTAGGAAATAGAAATTGTAGGGGCCTCCAGCCCTTGAAAATAATATGATGTAAAGTGAAGCATTTCATGTTTGGTAAACAATATTTTTAAAGTTCATATAAAAAGTAGTGTCAAAAGTTCAAAACCATTCGGTAAATTTTAATATAAAACTATTGTAATTGTGTAATGACTAAAATGGACATGATGTTGAAAATGTTATGTGCTAACTATGTGTTGGTGGGAAGGGGGGTATTAGTGGTGGTTTAGGTAGTGGAGGTGAGGTGGAAGTGGAGGTGGTGGTGGTACATGTCATTTAAATTCAGAAAAGAAAAAAAAAAGTATTATCATTTATGCATATAATCCGATTGCATCATATGTAGAGTGAATTTAAAACAGCAAGATGAGCGTGTATACAAAAATCATCATATCATATTGCATGTGGTGGCTGCTGATTGATGAAAATATAACTGATGCAAAGAGTATCTGAAATACGTGAAAATGCTTGACATTTCACTTTATTTGCTTTGTCCTCTTTCTTTCTATTGGATAAATTGTTGTGTTTGAAAAAGAAAAAGAAAATTTGCATGCTCGATGTGGCGTGCATAAATTGGCCTAGAGCCTGTTTTGGTCTGGACCCAATGGACGTGGTTGGGTCTGTTTTGAATAAGTTGAGACACAGTTCTCCCATTGTGAGATGGTGGCTTAGTAGATGCAAAGTTTGTGTCTTTGTTTTTTTTGTTTTTTGTTTTTTGTTTTTTATGAGAATGTTTGTGTCTTTGTTTTACTGCCTCTGTCTGCGTGCTTGCATAAGTCTGCCATATCAAAATACGTTTCATGAGAAAGAACGAAGCGAATTGATCTTTGCCTTCCTCTTGGAGTCAATGCCGTGTTCCAAATGGTTGTGTATTTAATTGGGTAGTTGCCGTTTTCATTTGTACTGCCATAGCCAGAGAAAATATATAAGATATTTTCAATTTTTTAATTTATTTTTTAAGGACTTTTTTCATTAAGAATGACGATAATATACTAAACTCATACACACTACACATATACTAGAACTCGAACTCAGAACCTTGCCTGGAAGAACACTTACTCTAAACCACTACACTGATGAATCATTTGCCTTAAATCAGTTTTTTTCTTCTGAATTATGTCGTATTTTTATGAGAGGATCAAGTTAGCAATAGTTTCTTTATAATAAGAAATTAATTTGAAAGCACAAAATGTAACGTTGATATTTGAATATGTTTTAAACTCATTGTCACTGAGTTAAAACAAGTCTAAGATGATAAGCATTTTCAATCAAAGTTGAACTTATGAGTTGCGACAACCGAAGGTGATGTTGTGATTAGTCAAATTGTATAGCTTGAAATTCATTTTGGATAAATTACATGTTTACGTATGTATTTTAATCATTTAATGAGGGTATGGTAAATTAGAGTATGTTAATTATAACATAGTTCTATTACTAGTGCAACATTAAAATGATTTAAATAATAAATATAAACTAACAGGTGGAGTTATTTCATTCTGTCTGGGAAAGTAAAAGTGCCCTACTTCTCAAGGCAGATGATAGGGTGAATTATTGGCACCCACATTATGAGATAATTCTAGGGGTCGCCCACAACCGAAATTAAATTTTGGTGCCGAAAGGGTGTACCTTCCTAATACGACGTTGAATGTGAGTGTGTATGACTAAGCATTAGAAGGTTACTTAGCGTGCACAATTAAGTCTTGACAATATAAATTAGAGACTTGACGTTGTAAACAATTACTCTCAAGTGAATATAAAGCTGAAATGTGTTTGCATACATTATAAATAGTCAACCTAATAGACCTAATTTTCAAAGGTTTCTCTAAAGAGTTAATTGAGGGAAATGGGTTATAAACATGAACATTTAAAGTCGTCATAGTGGATACCCAATCTAGCTGGCTAGAGATTCTAAAATCTAGGTTCAAAAGGGACATCTAAATTATGGATAACCAAGTAGTAGGACTATGATGAAATAATGTTGCCTGTACGTAGCGTGTTTTAAGATAAGCTTTGTTTTTAATGATTTCAATATAGCTTGGAAATCCAAGTAGGATATAACAAGATATTTTATTAGGAAGTCACCTATACAAGTGAAATGGGACCTTTAGTATGAGAATTTTTCAAGGCTAAATTCTCTAAACTACATGAATTCGAAAGTGTACAAGAGCGCAAGGACATCTTAGAACCAGATATTACTCTTATTTGGATTTACAAAAACAGTTGAACAATTCGAGGTGTGTTCAAGGTTCAATGATTAGCCAAGTAAATCCAATAGTATTTCACTAGCATAGGAAAGGTTGAAGGCCAAAACCTACCTATATCTTGATATGCAGTATCTTTCCAATCGAATTCTTTCAAAGAATTTGCACTGTTTTGTGTTTTTCTTTCGACCAATTTTACATCCATGTGGGGGGATTGTTGGAAAAATTAAATTAAATTTTATTTTATTTTTCCTAATGGGTGATAAATTGTGAAAGATATAATAATTTTAAAGTTCCTATACATGAAGAGATGATTTGTTTGTATTAAAGTATATGACTTCTTGTGCGCTTGTAAGGACACAAAGCATCTCTACTTGCATCTCACTATTTAAAATGCTTGACTGAAATGAAATTTTCATCTGAAATATCCATTTAAATATTGGAACGTTATCCACTTGACATACTCAACGAAAACCAGGGCCCCATCATAAGAACCTAGTCTTACAAACTTAAAACAAAACACAAACGAGAATGGGAATTAAAACATAACACAAACGCGAATGGGAATTAAAACATAACACAAACGAGAATGGGACTATTAGTTAACAATATTATTTAGTGGTCATCCATAAATCTCTTCCAAAACCAATGTTTCTTCCACACTCTCTCAGTCATTTCTTCAATAGGAACATTTTTGGTCTCGGGAATTAGAAGTAGCACAAAGAGTGACATGATCAAGACCCAAGCAGCGAAGAACAAGAAGATGGCATACTTCAAGCTGCAAAGCATTAAGAGGAAGACTTGTCCTATAACAAAACAGAAGAGCATGTTGACACAAACTGTCACACTTTGCCCTGCTGACCGAGCCTCCAGTGGAAATGTCTCACTAGGTATCAACCATCCGATGGGTCCCCAGGACCACGCGAAGGCAGAGACGAAAATGCACACCATGACCACCACAAGAATTGCCAAACCAAAAGATAAATTATTAGAATGATCCTTTACCTTCACGGCTAGCACTATTGCAACGACTATTTGAGAAAGCAACATTTGGATGCCAGCTTCCAATAAGAGCATTCGACGCCCAACTTTGTCAACCAAGAAGAGAGATACAATTGTGGCAAGCACATTGACAGCTCCTGTTATAACTGCGGCATAAAGGGAGGCATTGCTGCCAAAACCCATGCTTGCAAACAAAATGGGAGCATAGAAAAAAATTGCATTGATGCCTGTGAATTGCTGGAAGATCTGCAAAGCAAACATTGACAATCAAACAAAGTTAACAAAATGTGACATAATTTTTCAAGTTACTGATTAACCAATGTATAGACTGACCTGCATTGCTATTGCAATGACCAGTGGGGGGCGATTTTTACGCTTAAGGAGATTCCTAAAGGGGTGCTTTATCTCTTCTGCTACACGACTTGCCTCCACTATCTCCGCAAACTCTGTTTCAATATTTTCTGTTCCCCTGATCTTTTTAAGCACTGATCTTCCTTCATCCAACTTACCGCGTTGTATCAAACTGTTAGGAGTGTCTACCACAATGAGGGACCCCAAGGTTAGCATAAGTGCAGGAACGCCTGCCAGACCCAGTGATAGCCTCCAACCCCATCCCCCTTTAATTCTGTTTCGACAGAACACATGGTTATTAGAGGTTAATTAGTGGATGATGGTTAAGCATAAGAGTAGCCATAATTATTTTCAGTCATTCCCATCAGTCTGGCAAAGACAGTTTATCTTCATGTGCCTAATTGATTAAGAAACTAGTTTCATTTTCTTGGTATTTTTCATGTTTATTGCTATTTCAACCAAGGAGAAAGGGACATACTTAGCAGCACCATAATTGACAAGGGTTGCCAAAAGAATTCCAATGGTTGCATTAAGCTGGAAAAGTATATTGAGTCCTCCGCGTATTCTTGTTGGGGCTATCTCCGAAAGGAAAAGTGGGACAACCTACAAAACATGAAAATAATGCTTGATGAGCATGTTAGGGGGCAAGGGATAATGCATATGCCTCAAGAAAATGGAGGCTGAAAGCTCCTATTCAAATGGTGGGAAGAAAAACAGAGCTGCGTCATATTATGTCTCCGAAAGGCGTACCTCCAATGCGCCTATTATAATGTCACATGGTGTTATCAGTCACATTACCACATATCGTGTTGCTTTTGAGACGCAATAATTTTCCCTATATGGGCATCTGCAATTTTTTCTCCATTCATAACATCAGCACTAAAAAGATCAACAGATTACCATTTCCTCTAAATTCTACATTTCATCACTATTACATGACATTGTGTTAGAGTTGTACTGTGTTTTACTATCCTTTGCCCTGCCTAGCTCTTTGAAAAAGAAAATAATAATGTCTTGCTAGAAATTGATAACAGCAATACAACATTCTCAAACTCTCAAAACAAAGCAAGATCCTGATTGCAGAAATTAAAAATGAAAACCTGATTGCCGAAACCAACTCCACAACCAAGCAAGACCCTCCCCAGGATGACCACGGAAAGGTGATTAAACGAAGCGTTTAGGACTGTACCAACTATAAAGAAAACCCCAGCAATTAACATGGTTTTCTTTCGACCTAGCCTTTTGGTAGTGTATGATGCGAAGAAGGTTGCCACCAGAGCAGCAAGATACAGCAAAGATGTGAACAATTGCAAGCTTTGGTTGTTGTATTTGCAATAATTGCTATTGATATTCAGTTTCTGAGTGCTAGCGTAGACATCAGGGTAGAACTTTTTCAAGAAATCTGGCATGGCTGTCACACCTCCTGCATCAATAAGAACAACCCAAAAATTAAAACAAAAACAAAAACAAAAATCATTGTCAATTTTAACGAAAACAGAAAGAAAAAAAATTTGTGGGTATTTTATTTTACATGTGAGAGAGAGAAACAGAGGGGCTGACCAGAAATGGCAACCTCATAACCAAACATGAGGCCTCCAGTAGCAGCCAGTACACATGAAAAGATGACAATTGGTGTGATCTTGGCTTCAACACGATCTTCTGCAGTACTTGCTATGGCCAAGGAGCCCTGCTTCGCCATAGTTACTAGCTATGACCTCAATCTTTAAACAGTCTAAGCAAACTTGTTAATTGGTAATAATAATGCTTGAAGCTGCTTCTGCAGCTTATAAATATACATACAAGTTAAGAAGAAAGAAAAGGAGAGAGTTTATGCAAAACCAGCAAAGGGGTTGTTTTTAGGATATCTAGATTGTGTTTGTGTGTTTGAAAAAGAAAGAGAGAGAGAGAGAGAGAGAGAGAGAGAGATTGCATGAGAAACAGGTGTCTCAGTTCTAAGAGTTTCTTATCGGCTTCCTTATCTAAAGCTAAAGCTAATATTATATGTTTTCTCTGTTCCTTTGTCTGTTCCATTCCTTCGTATTATGTGTCAATGATTCTATGTATAGAAATCCAGACATTCCTTTTATCTTGTCAAAACCAGAAGACAGTGCGTGACTCTGTGAGCCCACAGTGTAACATTATTGTTGCGTTTTTTGATAGCACTGGACATGCAAGATTATCTGTATGTTTACGTTAATTCATTGAATGTAGTCATATATCTTGAAAGATAATTATGTTCTTAGTTTTCTTTTGCAAATTAAGTACTGAAGAAATCGATTGTTTTTATTAGGTGGCACACGGTTCAATTCAACCGAGGGGCGCAGTTCCATTGGTTCTTCTTTTTCACGTGGCACACTGTTCAACTAAATAATACTTATTTTGAGTGCTGTTATTTTCACCCACAGTCTTATTTTTTCATTCATCTTATCTTTCTACTCACCATGTAAATTTGAAAATACACAATCCTATCTTTCCACCCACCATTATTCCTAAAATACCTTTTATTTATTAATTCAAGCAAATTCAATCTCTCTCAGTCTAACAAGTCAAAAAGAGAAAAGAACAAATTTATTTACTAAAATATATATATATATATATATATATATCTCTCTCTCCCCAACAACAACGAAGAAAGAGAGAAGAACAAATTTATTTACCAATTGATAGAAATTGAAAGTTCAAGTTGCTCCAATAAAGTAGTCAAATCGTACATGAATTTGAAGGTCAGAAGAGATATGTCAAAAATAACATATCAAAAAGCTTGATGTCAAATATTATTTTTAATTTATAATTGTGATGTGTCAACTCTCAAGCACTTAGAGCAACTCCAGCGAGGCCCCTTTGCCTCGGGCTGGGGCATTTTTTCGCCAAAAATGGGTTCCAGCGGTGAGCCCAGGCAAGGGGAGAGGTGTGGGACCCACCAACTCGGGCTGGCCCGAAGGTAGCTTCAGCCCGAGGTCCAAAACTCGGGCTGCTGACGTCAGCGCTACAGTACCTGCTATAGTACCCCACTGATTTGATTTTTTTTTCTGTTGCCACGTGGCGTCGTCTAGGCTCTCCAATATGATTTTTTCCTCCAATCCAACAGCAGCCAATTTTTTTGCAATAAAATACTGGAAAAAAATTCGAAATTTTTTTGAAAAAAATACCCAAAATTAATGAATTTTTTTCTATAAATACCAGCCTTTTTTTTTATAAATTTATCTGAAATTTGAAATTGAAAATTTTATCCGATTATGAGATATGAATAGTATTGACACGTAGGAATCCGAAAATATTATCCAAATTAATTATTGTGGTAAAAAAAAAGTTGTGAAAAAAATAAAAAAATGAATAGTAATTGCCCTTTGCCATGGCAATGGGTGGAAACGGAAAATACTATTTGCAAGGGCAACTACTATTCACGTGAATAGTGGTTGCCCTAGCTCCCCCCTTGCCATGGCTAAGGGCAAATGGGTGGAGTTGCTCTTAGATTGAATTTAAATGATGTGGCATGTTGAGAGGAAAAGGCAACAAAATCATGGAGATCCTTTTCATTAAGTCCTTAAAAGTCATTTTACAAATGGGTAAATTTGTCTCTAAGATGGGTGGGAAAATAGAATAAGGGGGTGGAAATAGCAATACTCTTTATTTTTTTCATCTATACTCTTTATTTTATTACAATTTAATTATTTTCTAGCTTGGAGTAATGCTAATGAGGTGTAGTCCAGCATAAAAGGCCTTAACTTGCAGAGTCATGCTTTTTGGTTTGAACCATAATGCGCCTTAGATATATTGGCAATGTGTGAGAAAATTCCCTCTCCTCATTTTGCCTAAAAAAAAAAAAAAAAAAAAAAAAAAAAAAAGAAGAACATATTAAACAAAGTACTTATGTTCAAAATTTTAAAAGGAGTTTAACTAAAACACCCAAAATAGGGGCTGAAATTATAAAAAAACTCAACACCCAAAACACTTTATAAACACACCCAAAACTCATCATTATACACACTCAAAACCCATTTATAAACACACCCAAAAAATATACAATTGTTGATTTTGGGGTTGATTTTGGGTGTGTTTCTATGTTTAAATAATGCTTGGGTTTTTTTATAAATATATGTCTAGGATTGAGTTTATTTATAAATTTGTAAATTTTAAAACGCTCTTTGGTATCAAAATCAATTTTACAAACGTTTCTCATTGTTTTTGTTTTGGGCTTTGGCACACTATACATAACAACGGTGTGCGCAAAAGAAAGATTAGGAATATTCGAGCCCGTTTGATAACCATTTCAATTTTAGTTTTTCATTTTTCATTTTTTATGCTAGAGTATAGAAGAAAATGAGAGTAAGAATGGAGTTGAGGATGAGATTGTGAGAATGGCGAGCCAGAATGAGGTAATTTGGCCCAATGGGCCGGAATGGCCTGTGGCCAATCATAGGCAACGTCAATTCGAAACCCAATGGGTTGGCCCATATAAAGTCCATTTGTTAAATGAATAATACTAGTCTTATCACATTTTTATACCACAGTTTTATACCACATGATGTGGCAGATGATGTGTACACACCACATCATGTAAAATAATAGTTTCTGTTTTTCTAATTTTATTTATTAAAATACACTTCATTCATTTAATTGATATGGCATATGATATGGACATGCCACATCATATGGTATAGAAATGTGGGATAAAAATGTGGTCAGTGTAGCATTACTCTTGTTAAATTATATTTCTTTTAGAGAAAAATATTACATGATATTATTATATTTATATCTTAAATTCAAGACTATTTCTTTTCTCTAATAATATATATTAAAAGTTAATATTTTCTTTTTATATAAGTTAATTAGGTGATTTACTTCCTCGTTTCATATAGTTGACACATCCTTGTATAATTAGAAGATATTCTCCTAATTAAGTACTGTATCTATTTCCTTGTAAAGTACCCTTGTAAACTCCTATATATATACTTCCTTATGGAGAAGAATACAATTAACCTGAAGTATTCAAACCAAGTATCATATTTTAGCATGGTATCAGAACAACCGATCCTAGGTCGTCTTTAAGCCCTCAAATCATATCCTCAAATTCAAATCCAAACCCTAAATCAAATTCCTTACCTCTCGAATGAAATCTTCTTATCAAACTCCTTAAACACATACCTGTCAAATCAAATTCCTAAATCAAATTCCTCAAATCAAAATCCTCAAATTCTCAAATCCACTCCTCAACCACAAACACCCACTCATATCAAATCTTCCTTCCGTTATTATGTCAGGCCCCCCAACGATTCTCTCTCTCCTTGTAGACTCAAAGAAGCATGCAGTTAATCATGCTGAACAAGCTACACGGGCTCGTGCCTCTATAGCCACCATCAAAGGTTCTGCTTTCCATACGTCATCTCCAAAGCACACATGGATTATTGACTTGAGTGCTATGGATGACATGACATTTTATCCTGACCAACTTATTACTCATAAACCCTCCACGCAATCAGTGGTGTTTAATGCTAATGGTACCCCCTCCCTTGTGGTTGGAGACGGCTCTCTATCTCTCTATAACTTCATCAATCTTGATTCTGTATTGGTTGTTCCATCTTTGGACCATAACTTGTTGTCTGTTGCACAACTTACTACTAGTTTGGGGTGTCGTGTAATATTTTTGCCTAATCATTGTATTTTTTATGACATCCTCATCATGAAGATGATTGGTTGTGGTACTAGGCAAGGCAAACTTTACTACTTAGACTAGGCACCGGATAGTGAGACTAAGGTTGGTCAAGATTTCATAACAAGTGGAGCTCGTTCTGAGAGGTAGAAAGACAAAGTTTGGTTATGGCATAAATGTCTTGAGCATGCCTCGTTCGGTTATGTGAAGAAGTTGTTTCCATCATTATTTTCCAGTTTTGATGTTTCCAGTGTCCAGTGTGATACATGTGAATTGGCTAAGAGCCATCATGTTCCGTTCCCATTAAGTACAAAAATAAGTTTGGTTTCCTTCTCCTTTATTCATTATGATGTTTGAAGGCCTGCTCAAATCGTTGCTCTGGATGGACTCAATGGTTTGTCACTTTCATTGATGACTATACCCGAATAACTTGGGTTTCCCTTCTCAAAATCAAAGGGGAAGTCAATTTAACGCTTCAACTGTTCCATTAAATGGGGGCGACTTAGTTTGATGCCCAAATCCAAGTTCTTCGTTCTGACAATGGCGGAGAATTTCTTAATCATTACCTCAACAAATTCTTATAGGATCATGGCATCATACATCACACTCGTGTCCATATACTCCCCAAAATGGAGTGGCTGAATGAAAGAACCAACATTTACTGGAAGTCATAGTTGCCTCTCTATGTGGTGCCAACATTCCTCGATCTGTTTAGGGCAAGGACATCCTCTTTGCAGCTTACCTTATCAATAGGATTCTCTCAAGTATGTTGAATTTCCAAACTCCTCTTCAAACACTTCACCAACATATCCAAATACTTCCCACCCCAAACCTTGAACCACAGATTTTCAGTTGTGTTGTATTGTTACACTTACACGATTACCAACGAAACAAATTGAAGCTCCACGCAGAAAAGTGTTTTTCATTGGCTATGCCCCTCATTAGAAAGGTTACTAATGTTATCACCCTTCAAGTCAAAAGGTATATACCTCTATGAATGCAGTGTTCCGGAAACACAATATATATTTTTCAGAAGCACATGAGGAGAATTTAGAGTCAAACACCCTGACTTTTCTAGATTTTTTCACAACCGAAGAGACTTAGCATCAAAGCGACCAGTCGACCCCCTTTATTCGTGCGCATAAGGAGTCTCTGCCTTTAAACAACTAGTAGTCCTTCCAAAACGATCGGTCTCCTCCCTCGGGTTTTTCACACCATGTGTCTATGCCACAACATGACCAGTCTTCAAAGCCACACGACTGATTGCCTCTCTGCTGCCAAAATCAAGAGAAGACTGTTAATTCGTTTTCTAAGATTTTGCCCACTCCAGACCCATCTTTAGCTCTAGAACCATACCAATTGCATGTTGAGGATGTCATTCAGGTAACATCTCCCCCTGAAACTGATAACACTAATAAAATATATCATGATAATTTGATTTCAGAAAGCATAAAGGATACAGGTGCCCCTATATACCAACTTTGAGAAAGAAAAAACCGTTGGTAAACCTCGAGTACCAATACGAAGCACATCTTAAAGGAAAATGAAAATACCCCATCAATAATTTTATATCTGTAAACAGATTATCATAGTTACATGTACACATTGTGAACCAATTGGCCGATATCTGTCCCAAATAGTGTGAATATGAAGCATTAGAAGACTCAAAATGAAACAAAGCCATAAATGGAGAAATGCGAGCTCTCCAGAAGAATACCACATGGGATATCGTGTCTTTACCTCACAAAAATAAGACAGTGGAATGCAAGTGGATCTATACTGTGAAACTCAAAGCAGATAGATCTATTGAAAGATATAAAGCCAAATTGGTGACGAAGGGGTATACATAGAGGTATGGGGTGGACTACTAAGAGACCTTTGCCCTAGTAGCCAAGATCAACATTATCAGAGTCCTACTGTCTCTAGCAGCAAATCTATATTGGCCACTACATCAGTTCGATGTTAAAAATGTTTTTTTAGATGGAAACTTGGAAAAAGAGGTATACATGGATTTACCACCAGGATGTAATTTAGCTCCTGACAAGAAAAATCAAGTTTGCAAGCACAGAATGTCATTATATAGGTTAATACAATCTCCCAGGGCATGATTTGGAAGATTTACTAAGTCCATAAGGAATTTTGGATACACTCAAAGTAATTCAAACCGCACCCTGTTCTTGAAGTGTGATGGAGGAAAAATTACTACATTAATTGTTTATGTAGATGACATAGCTGTAACTGGGAACGACAGATGAGAGCAACATAAGCTACAAAAGTATTTGTCTAGGGAATTTGAGATGAAGGATTTAGTTGCTCTAAAATACTTCCTCAGAATTAAAGTAGCAAGATCAAAATTTGGTATTTTTATGTCTCAAAGGAAATATATGATGGATACACATTGGAACATGAATGCTAGGATGTAAGCCTGCTAACACATTCATTGAGATGAATCACAAGTTGTGTGAAGACATGGACCATCTGCCAACAAATAAGAAACAATACCAGGGCTTTGTTGGAATGTTGATATATTTGGCACACATAAGACCAGATATTGCATATGTTGTGAGTGTGGTTAGTCAGTTTATGCCTTCACCTAGTGTTTCTCATAGGAATGCAGTTGATCGGATCTTAAGATACTTAAAGTCAACCCCTGAAAAATGATTAATGTTATGAAAGAATGGAAATCTTGAAGTTGTTGGATATATAGATGTTGATTGGGCTGGTTCCATTACATATAGGCACTCTACATCGAGGTACTTTACATTCGTTAGAGGTAACCTAATCACTTGGCAGAGTAAAAAAAAATATGTGGATGCTCGGTCTAGTGCAGAAGCAGAGTATCGAGGTATAGCTCAAGGAGTTTGTGAATTATTGTGGATCATAGGACTCTTAACATAATTGGGTTTTAAACTAGACAAGCCCATGCAGTTACATTGTGATAATAAGTCAGTAATCAATGTTCCTCATAATCCAATTCAACATGATCGAACAAAACATGTTGAGGTGAATAATCATTGCATGAAAGAAAAAATTGAGAACAAGATCATCTACCTACCCTTTGTTAAATCAGAAGATCAGTTAACAGATTTCTTGACAAAAGTCGTCTGTGGATGAGTGTTTTATGACTCACTTACCAAGTTGGGCATGGTGATGTATATGCACCAACTTGAGGAGGAGTGTTAACGTAAGTTAACCTACTAATTCAAGAAGATTTATTTCCTAAGTTAATTAGGTGATTTACTTCTTTGTTTCATATAGTTGACACATCCTGATATAATTAGGAGATATTCTCCTAATTAATTACTGTATCTATTTCCTTGTAAAGCACCCTTATAAATTCCTAAATATCTCTTATGAAAAAAATACAATTAACCTAAAGTATTTAAACCAAGTATCATATTTTAGCAATAAAATGAAATTATATACAGGACTCAATGATCCATACAATATGTAGCAATAGCAAAGAGAGTCTTTCTCTCTTAAAAAAGCACATGTTAATTATATTTTGACCAGATAAAAAAACTAACATAGGCAAGCAGTCCCGATCTCTTGGACTAGGGGGTCCAAGAGATTTGTAGTCACCCACCGTTGGATGTAAATTCAACGGTTCACTCACTCTCGCACTCATTTTAAGAAACTTTTTTGTAACGGTGAGTGACCACAAATCTCTTGGACCCCTGTAGTCCAAGAGATCGGGACTGCATAAGCAAGTTGTATTTCAATAATATGAAAAGCATATGTATTTGTGAGGGGAGACTGTGAATTCATTCATGGAGAAAAATTGTTGATAAAAGAAATCTATTAAAAAAAGGAGCATGAACCAATTAGAGATAAACCCTGAGAAAAAGAAATAGAGATAAACCCTGCCCGTTGGTTTCAATGAAGGGTGAGGATTGGATTTCTTACAACATTTTCAGCAGTTAGCTCCTTGCCATGGCAAGGGGAGCCCTAGGGCAGCTACTATTCACGTGAATAGTGACTGCCCTAGCTCTCCCCAGCAAAGTGTGTTTACAGCAATTAGCCCCTTGCCATGGCAAATACTATTCATTTTTTTTGTTTTTTTCACAACTTTGTTTATTTAAACAATTAATTTTGATAATATTTTCGGATAAGATTTTCGGTTTCAAATTTCAAATTTAAGATACATTTCAAAATTCAAATTTCAGATAAATTTAAAATGTCAAATTTCATATACATTTTGAAATTCAAATTTCAGATACAAATATTGAGTAGAAAGTGAATAATTGTAGAAGGAGAAGAAAATATATGAGGATTTGGTGTGAAAAGTGAAGAGTATTGGTTGGTATTTATAGAAAAAAAAAATTCAGTATTTTTTGGGTAATTTTTTTAATTTTTTTATTGGAAAAAAATTGGCTGCCGTTCGATTGGAGCAAAAATTATGATCGGAGAGCCCAGGACGCGACACGTGGCACATATCCGTTAGCGGACACTGTAGCGCTAGTGTTCAAATTTTTTTAACGTTGGCGCATGCACGTTAAAAAAATTTTGAGAGCCTACGCTGACGTCAGCTCAGCCCGCATGCTGGAGTTCGGGCCAGCCCAATTCGCTGGGTCCCACTCCTTGTCCAGGCCAAATTTTGTTGCTGCAAATACCATTTTGGGCTCCCCCACCACAGCCCTCCCCTTGGTCCCTTGCTGGAAGTGCTCTTAATCCAAACCAACAGGCCCATACACTTTTTTAATATCATAAACCGATTTATAAGGGAGAGAAACGTTTGAGTCTTGGTAAGTGGGTGTTCTTAGACCCCTCGCGAGTAACGACCCAGGCAAGGCAAAAGAGGAAGACCCTCCAACTCTCGTGAATATTCGGCCCACTGTTGCTTCCTAGTCCTCCATTGTTGGAGGAGGAGGAGGCCTCCATTACCATTACCCAGGTATGGCCTAAAGTTATGGCCTTTTCATTTTCATTATAGAATTGACACTGCAAGTTCTTGACATTTGGTGTGTTGGGATTTTATTGGGTGTGATTAGCAGAAGGGATAAGCAGGGAGAAAAAAAAGAAACCTATGGCCTTTAGGTTTTTTTATTGGGTGTGGTTAGCAGAAGGATAAACAGGGGAAAAGAAAGACTTTGTAGGTTTTAGTACAATTTGATACAATGAATAGGTAAAGAGCAAAATTTGGGTATATATTTTCATCGCCCTCTTTGATTTCCAACAAACCCAATTGTTCATCGTCCTGCTCTTAAAGAAGAAATTTGTATAATGGGGGGAACCTTGTTTTGTATGAACTCCATTATTTGCTTGACATTTATCATTGTTGTACAGAAAATGTCAGTCGTTACTGATAAAAGGCTCAGGAGAGGAAGCCCGCCGTGGTCTGATCTTCCATATGACATATTGTGTTGCATTATGGGGCACCTTTGTTTTGTGGACCAAATTCAATTTCGTGCTGTTTGCAAGAATTTTGGACTGGTTGCTGGGTATTAGGCCTAAAGATAAACTGCCCTGGGTTCTAACATTAAACTTCAGTTTTAAAAATTATATGTACCCATCTAGCCTCTATGATCCATGTACCCTTGAAGCATATAAGCTTGATCATGAATTAACATCTTCTAGCTGGAGTGGGGTTGTCAAACTACAAGTTTGCGGTGCAAGAAACGGTTGGTTGCTTCTAGCTGAAATTACACCATTTTTTTTCTTTGGTCACACTGATTTTTACCTCTACAATCCTTTCACTGATGATGCGAGTATCAATTTGCCCCGTTTAAGAACCAAGGAATTTAAAGCCACATTCACCTCCAATCTGACGTCCCAAGATTGTTTGTTTTTTGCCATACATGCTGATGAGGAAAGAGAAAAAGTAATGTGCATAAGCACCTGCAGCCATGGTGATAGAACCTGCAGCCATGGTGATAGAAAATGGACTGAGTCTCTGGGTGTAGAAGGTAATTTGAAGCAAGTAATTGGTGTGGTCTATATATCAAGGGCGTCTTTTACTGTATTTTCAAAACTGGAATGCTAGGTTCCTTCAACCCTGCTACCAAAAAGTGGAGTTTGCTTATTTCAGAAAACACGAATTCATCGGAGTTACGAAGCCTTGCAGGCTCGTTTGAAGCTAGATTTGTTGAGTCCGATGGAGAGGTGTTACTAGTATACTCTAAGCGGAGCTATAAGCCTTGGCACATTTTCAGGCTGGACTGGTTGCAAATGACATGGATGAAGGAAGTTAGCTTGGGTAACAGAGTATTATTCCTCGGTGATATCTCATTCTTGATTTCTGCAGATGGGGAAATAAAGGATTTGTCTGATCGTATCTATTATCATGGATTTAGGAGATCGTACTTCTACCCAATCAAGTCTGGGATTGGCCAAATCCGCAACCATTCGTTAATACGCCAGTCCTGCAAACATTATGAGGACCGCAGCCCTCATATGCTCAGAGTTTGGATTGAACCACCAACTCTGTTATGATATGTGCTTCTTCAGGTATCAATGAAGTGCAGCAGAATTTTAGAATTCTATCTTTGCCAGTAACATTAGCAAGTAGTACTAAAAGTCTAAAATTAGAATGAACCTTATCTTTTGAATTTTATGTTAAATCTTAAATGTTAGTTTGAGTGTGACAAATTCATTTTGTGGTTTAATTATTGCTTGTTTATGTCGATGATCAATCTTGCTTTCGAGGTTTATATTTTCAACATCTTCTGAGGACAAAGCAAGGCCTTCTTCATACTGAAACCATTTCTGAAAAAAGTTGATCTGCTTATGTTTTTGGCGACAAGAAGATAGATACTGTCATACAGACGACAAAATGAACGATATAATCTTTGATCAAAACTACAAGACTAGCTCCTTTCAGAAGAAGAGAAGGAAAAAAAAAACACTAATGGCACTTGTCAACTCGCTTCCTAATTGAGCTGAAAACCAGGCATATGCCCAAAAGAATGAAGTTTGTGTGGCTTAACTTGTAAATAAATAAAAAGGAAGAGAGGCTACCTAATATTAAATATTAATTAAAATATAATTCTGTGTGGCTTAATTATAATTGTGTGTTACAAAATATAATTCTGTTATATTAAAAATTCTATAAAAAAAAGCATAAACAAAAACTTTGAAATTTGACTTTTTGGGCTTTAAGATCCGTCGAGGATATTCTTATAATTTTCTTTGTACTTTCAAAGAACTCCGGTGGGTATCGACTAGGGGCGATATTGTCCAGCCCAATACTCAAATTGGTCCAAGTCATGTGCGTAGCCCACTACTCACTCAGTAAATAGGAGGTAAGCTCTCTCTCTCTCTTTCTCTCTCTCACACTTCAACTCTCGTTCAAGAATCAAAAATTCGGCGACCATTCTTCTTCTCCCAGGTAGTTTGTTTAACAAATTGCTCATCAGTTTTCGTTTTCAATTTTTGACCCTTTTCCTTCCATCAGTCCTTTGCGTGATTTCAAGTTAAAAATCTTCTCCTAACCGAATTGATTGCTTTACCTCGATGCTTGGTTGCAGATCAAACTCACTCGCATTTCAATCAAAGTTCGTTTTCTCTTTCTTGGAACTTTTCTGAAGCTGAGGGAATGATTATCGAGTACGTGTTAGGTTTTTGTGCAAAGAAGCTTTGTCTACTTTGCGCAAGAGCAAGAACATTAATTTCACCGTTTTTGTCTTCTCTCTTTTCTCGGTGCCCCAGGCTTGGCCAGGTATGATTTTATATGATTAAATTTGTTGGATTTCTCATTTCACCCTGTTCTTAAAAGTTTACATTGATTACAGCATTGTGGGTTTTAGATTGCAAGCATGAATATGAATTTACTGAACCGAAAAAAGAAAAGAATCTTTAAAGAAAATTTTAATCAGAGGTTGGGAGTTGAGACTGGATTGGCTGTGTTGAATTTCCTTGTGCTGTCTTTGGTATGCGTTTTGGTTCTGTATTATAAAGTACATATTTATAAGGCCTATTTCTGGATTTCATTTCTTGTAGATTGATCAACCAAGATGGGATGACTTACCTACGGACTGTTTGGTGAATGTGTTGGAAAAAGTTGGTATGAGGTCCTTGCTCTTGGATGTCCCTTTTGTGTGCAAGTCATGGTACAGGGCTAGCCTCCACCCTTTATGCTGGCAACGTCTCATTTTTGTTGACACTGAAACTAAGATGGACCTTGAAACTCATCGACTTTGGCGTTATCACAGTGAAATTGAAGCTGAGATCGACATTCAATCTGATCGTCTCTGCTTCGAATCCTTGATGAGTAGATTTGTATTTCAATATCAAATTGATGATAGCTGTTTCTCAGATACCGCATTTATAACGTCTGTAGTCAATCGCAGCAGAGGACATGCAACTTTCCTGAGGCTACCTGGATTCTGTCCAGAAGCAGCATTGAAATATGTTGGGGATGTGTAAGTTTTCTCAAACTCATAGGTGGAGAGAAAAGAGTCACTCTTTGGTTAAGCTGTATTATCTATGACATGCACTTCGATATTAAAACCTTTGTATTGTCACCTGAAAAATGAGTCTTGGTAAACTTTTATTTGCAGGTGTCATGAACTTAAGGGTTTGTCTTTGCCCAGACGTTTACTGCTTTGTTCATCAAGCATTGTAAAAGAATTGATTGGAAAGTGCAAACATTTGGAGTTGTTGTCACTGGGAGGTAGCCATAATTTGGAGGAGATTCTGTTACAGTTCAGCATGGGATGCTGCAGGAATTTTCTAAACATAAATGTGCCAGCTGTTTTAATGAATAGACAAGGAGCAATGAAGATTCCCTATTTGATTCCTAATGTTAGCTTCCTGAGCAGCTATAATTTGGAGGAAATCCTTGCACAGATCCGCATTCACTGCAAGAACTTTTGCCGTTTAAATATGTCGGGTGCTTTAATCAAAAGAGAAGACGTGATGGCAATTGTCAGCTTGCTTCCTCATATTAAGTACCTAATCCTGAGGAAGGCATACATTGATCGGGACGATCTTCTCACATTACTGCGAGGCTGCACAGAACTTGTGCTTTTGGATGCAAGGGATTGCTCTGGTTTTGACGAAGGTGATGTTGAAATATCAGTGCTTGCTTCTCATATTGGTAAGTTCAGCTGTGAGGGTTCTAAGTGTGTTGATGACCCTCTTTTGTGGTTGCGTACTCACATAAGCATTTAGACATTAATGTGAGTGTTTGCTTTTCAAGCAAAGCAAAGCATAGTGTCTTAGCTTAGGTGTTTCTTGTCCACTTCTCTTGTTAACGGAGTTCGATATTTTAAACCCCCTTTCCGTGACAACGAAGTGATTAACGGTTGAGAATTGTTTCCATCAGAAAGTGACAGTTGAGAATTCTAAATCTGGTGAGATTACATTCAGCTTGTTGGTATGTTTGGAGGGTTTATGTAATGGGATCCAGACTTTACCTTTGGGTTGTGGAATTGTCTAATATAGTAGATATTTTTGTCTGATGGTCTCTTCTTTTATCTTAGTTTGAATAGTGTAGCTAAAATTGTATTAAAAGTATATGATTTTAGATATAATTCCAACTCTTAAAATTGAGAGTTCTTGTGTACAATGACTTCCCCACAAAAGGGATTGGACTTAATTCCAACTCTTTTAAGCACGTTTATCAAACAGTCCATGTCTAACTCCTCCAGTGACCCATCTTTGTTCATCCTCATCATCGGTCTGCAAGAAATGCAGACACTAGAAACAAAGTTATATCACGTCGTCAACTTCGCTTTACTTTTTCTTGTTATTTCAATTTTGACAATTATCTAGTTTTGGTAATCAAGTCCAATGACCTAACATTGTGAAGTAAAATAAACGGAATGCTCACGTGTTAGACCAGCCGCAAGCGTTTTTATTAGAGACAACTGAAGTCTCACGTGTCGTAGTTGCATATTGCCACGTCAAATTTCATTTATTAATTTGACAGAAATTTCAACTTAAACATGATTTAACACTAAAGAAAACAACATTAACTAAACTTACACAAATTAAAAGGCCAAAATTCATTTTAGGTCGCTATGGTTTACCACTTTTACCACTAAGGTCTCTGTGGTTTCAATTTCGTCACTTTTGTCCCTGTGGTTTCAATTTGAACTAATTTGAGGACAATTCCCAATTTTTGATACTTATTGAGGGGCATTTTGGTCCAATCTTGCAGCGCCTCCCCAACCACCCTACAGCCACCCAGCAACCCTTCCAAAAACTTATCTTTGTTGTAAACCGGCAACGAACAATGCTCCATTTGAATTTTTGTTGATAAAAATTATGGCCATCTATGCATAAACATCAACTAACAAAATCATAATCGAGCGGGCCTTAGGATTACACAAGGGAGATACATTTCTTAAATTTTTTTTTGCTGAACCCAAAGAAAAACTCACAATTATAATCATAATCCATTTCATTTCTTCGTAAGGGATGAAGGTTGTAACACCCCGACTCCAAATTTATCCCCTGTTTTAATTAATTTGAGTGAAATTAAGAATTTACCCGAGGGATGGGTACTTTAGTCATTTTCTTGCCCGGAAGGAATTTGGGAATTCCGGATGTACCGTTGCGTAGAGCACGGCGAGATGAGTTCGTAGACATGTAGTGGGCTCGAATCGGAGTTGTAACGAGAGAGATATGATCAAATGAAGCTCAGTGGCATAATCGTAAATATTTTGAAGTGGGATTTTTGGTTAAAAGACGGAATTGCCCCCGTCTCTCTCACACTCTCTCTCTCGCGCGCGTCCCTCTCTCTCTCCTCTGGTTCGCGACCGCCACCACAGCCGGCCACGTTTTGGCCGGCCGTTCGCTCGTCCGGCCACCAAAGTCGACGGGGCCGGTACCAAAATGACCGGGCCGCCGTCCTCTTCCTACCCCAGCCAGGTCTCGCCGTCAGCCGTCGAGATTTCGCCGGAAAATCGAAGAGAAAAGCTCGGTTTCGCCCGAAACTTCGCCGGCTTCGTTCTCCGTCGTCCGGCCGCCATTTTTGGCGATCAAGGTATGGAAATTCATCCCTTCTGCATGATCTAGCTGATGGTTGGGTAGGATTGTATCGATTTTGAGCCTAGATTATCTGATTTTCGAGTTAGGGTTCGGCCGGATTTCGGGATGAGATTCCGGCCACTTCCGGTCAGTTTTTGGGGTACGTCCAAGAACAAAAGTGACTCCAAATTAGGTGTATTACCTAGGGTAGGAGTCTGGGCTCACGATTTGGAAGTTTTCCGGCGATGGGTATCGCTTTGGACACCCACGCGCTGCCGGCGCGTGTGGCGGCGCGTGGGCACTGTAGCTGAGGGGCATTTTTGTCCCATTGTGATCCTCTCGATGTCACGAGCGCGCAGGTGTGCTCGGATCTCAATTTGGATATCGTTAGAGTCCCGAACGGATATCGCATATCGCGTATTTTCCGGGTTCGCTGGGTTTGGACCGTTGGATGGTCCTGATATTATAATATGTTGATCTAGGTATTACCAGGATCGTGTAGGATTCGACGGATCGTAAAACGGAGTCCCGGATACTCCGGAAATGCCAACCCTGGGGTTAGGGTTTTAGTAACCGTCCGATCGTGTGATCGTGAGCGATCCGGCCGTCCGATCTGGACCAAACTTGCAGGACATGTGTCCTAGAGCCTGTAGAACCTATAGGAACTTTCAGATTGGAGTTTGGAGGTTGTGGGCCCCGCAGGCCCGTTTGACCCTAGGTTGACCGTGAGACTTCCGAGATAGTCTTACCTTTATTTGAGGGTTAGAATGACCTTAGTGACAGGTCTTGAGCGTTGTTGAGTAAAATGGATATTGTGGGTTTAGGATATAAATTGGTGAATTTAAATGGTGGGAGTTTATGGAATGTTTTATTGGTTGATGTTATTGTGTGATATATTTAATTAATTGTGTGGATGTATAATGATATATAAGGAGATTGAATATTAGTGTACAGTGCTATACGCACTACCCCACGTACCCCTCATATTGCGATTATGCTCAGGCCCCGTACGTGGCCGGGTACGTCCCGACGTATGAGTGGGTGATATGATGGTATAAGGGCTGGTGAGAATGTAGCCAGGCCCAGTGTGAGGTCGCACGCGTCTTTGGGTTAGCCGGCGTGTTGACAGGCCCCGTACGTGGCCGGGTACGTCCCGACGTATGAGTGGGTGATATGATGGTATAAGGGCTGGTGAGAATGTAGCCAGGCCCAGTGTGAGGTCGCACGCGTCTTTGGGTTAGCCGGCGTGTTGACAGGCCCCGTACGTGGCCGGGTACGTCCCGACGTATGAGTGGGTGATATGATGGTATAAGGGCTGGTGAGAATGTAGCCAGGCCCAGTGTGAGGTCGCACGCGTCTTTGGGTTAGCCGGCGTGTTGACAGGCCCCGTACGTGGCCGGGTACGTCCCGACGTATGAGTGGGTGATATGATGGTATAAGGGCTGGTGAGAATGTAGCCAGGCCCAGTGTGAGGTCGCACGCGTCTTTGGGTTAGCCGGCGTGTTGACAGGCCCCGTACGTGGCCGGGTACGTCCCGACGTATGAGTGGGTGATATGATGGTATAAGGGCTGGTGAGAATGTAGCCAGGCCCAGTGTGAGGTCGCACGCGTCTTTGGGTTAGCCGGCGTGTTGACAGGCCCCGTACGTGGCCGGGTACGTCCCGACGTATGAGTGGGTGTTATGATGGTATAAGGGCTGGTGAGAATGTAGCCAGGCCCAGTGTGAGGTCGCACGCGTCTTTGGATTAGCCGGCGTGTTGACAGACCCCGTACGAGGCCGGGTGCGTCCCGTCGTATGAGTGGGAGATATGATAGTATGATGGCTGGTGAGAATGTAGCCAGGCCAAAGAGAACAGTATGATGGCTGGTGAGAATGTAGCCAGGCCCAGCGAGAGGTCGCACGCGTCTTTGGATTAGCCGGCGTGTAGACAGACCCCGTACGAGGCCGGGTGCGTCCCGTCGTATGAGGGGAGCTATGTGATTATGTTGGGTGTGTTGTGATGGATAAACCCGAGAATGTATGTATTTATATGGATGAAATGGTTTAATTGATGTCAGGAGCCAGGATTGATAGGAAAGAGCTACGTGTGGCTTGATCCCTTAGTAGGGTACGTAGGCAGCCTGGGATAGCGCCTAGGTGCAGCCACGACTTAGACACCACTTAGGTGGTTTTATCGAGTATGATGCGGACCTTGTGGTTGGTCCCGAAACTTGGTTGAATTGAGGCTTGTCCGTTGGACTGAGTGAGTGAAGGTGTGTATGGATGGATTTTGAATTGGTTATATGCATGTGTGATGCATTAAGTTATTTTAAAGACAGTGTGGGCAGTTCTGCTAGAACCATTTGAAGGCCGGAGGCCATTTATGTAAATTGCATGAAATTATATTGTGCGTGCTGCTGGTTGGGTTGTAAAATGTGTTTTATGCAGGTGGAAATTTTGGGGAATGTTCAATTTGCAGGGGAGACTCTGCCGAAATTTTGGCAGAAAGTCTCGTGCCCTTAATCCTCTATGGTGAACGAGGACGTAGATTTAAGGAGTAAACCCGGCGTGGGTGTGATGCCGGGGTCTCCGCAGGGTTCGTCTCGGGTTCCGGGGAAATTCGGGACGGGTCCTGTCAAGGTAATCTCCAGCCAAAAAAGAAATACAAAGTAGCCAGAGCAAGTCTACTTCGGTCTTTTGTAAGCTTCATAAAAGTAGCCCATGATTACAACAGTATCATCAATTGCAGCCCTTATTGCACCTTGTTCTAGTGTCACAAGCTTTGATAGTTTCTTATTATGTAATTCGACATAATGTCTAAAAACAATTATTAATGAAGGTTGTATAATGGTACCTCTCTTTGTACATCTCCAATAAGCATTGTTTGTTGTTGGTTTAGATAGTGGGATTGTCAATGTTTACAACATGGAGGAGTTTTTGGAGGGCTAGTGGGGGTGGAGGTGGTTGGGGAGGGGCTGCAAGTTTGGACTGAAATGCCCCTCAATAAGTATCATAAATTGGAAATTGTCCTTAAATTGCATCAAATTGAAACCACATGGACAAAAGTGACGGAATTGAAATCACAGGAACCTTAGTGGTAAAAGTGGTAAACCACAGAAATCAAAAATAACTTTTTGCCAAATTAAAATGACATGGGTGAAAGTGGAAAGTTAATCTTAAGTTCATCAAAAATGAATATTTGTGTAAACTCTCCAAATTGTACGTTAGGGGAGAGAATAGGACATTAATATAAAACCCAAATGGAAATTCTTACTCTTTTACGATTGGACAGGTGGCACAACCTTATTGGAGTATAACTGGACAGGGCTTTTCTGACCTGGCATCCCCGGAAAGTCGTATACTTTAAGTCCTACGCATTCGGGTGTCGAGTTCAGCCTCCCTTGGGTCCTTTCTCTGCTGTTCGTTGCAGATGAAATTCAAGCACTCAAATCAATCAAAAGGTTTGTTTACTCTTTCTTGGAAAGAATTTTCTTGATGATTCTACTTGTCTTGCTCTAGGTCTGGTTCGGGGTCTTTTGATTTCCACCTAAAAACCCATTTCAATTTCAATCGCTTTCATTTCTTCTTGATTTTGTGATTTTGTTTTTCTTCTGCTGGGACTATAAGAGGAAGATTTTCGTTCTGTGTCCCCAAACCACTCCAATGGCGAATCCCGACCTTCCCCAAACCAAGAAGCTTCGTCAGGTATGAATTATATATTTCTTTTAACACTCTACTCTAGTAATAATCAGCTGTGCCCATATTAAAATATTCAAGGTTTAATCTTTGTTTCATGATTAAAGTTACTGGATTGGCTGAAATTATTGGTTTCAGTTCGTGGTGGGTTTGAGATTTCAAGAATGAAAATGAATATAATGAAAATAATGATTACTTTGAATCTAATTAGATTTTGGGATTTGATTGGATTTGTTGAATTTCGTTGTAGGTCTTTGTTATGCATTGTGTTTATGTGTTATATTTTAGCATATCTACAACTACAACTATATTTCTGGCTTTTCGATTCTTGTAGACGGTTCAATTTCAACCAAGATGGGAAGACCTAAACGTGGACTGTTTGGCAAATGTGTTTGGAAGAGTTGGTATCACGGCATTGCTCTTGAGTGTCCCTTTCGTGTGTAAGTCTTGGTACAGAGCAAGCCTCGACTCTGCATGTTGGCAACGTCTCATTTTGCCTGATGTTGATACTGAGATTGACCTTGGAAATGAGGGATTTTGGAATTCTGACAATGAAATTGAAGCTGTGATTGACAGAAGACTAGAGCTTTTCCGTTTCGATACCTTGATGCGCAGATTTGTATGGGGATATCAAATTGATCATAATTGCTTTTCTGAGACTCAATTCATAATGTTTGTAGTCAATCGTAGCAGAGGACAGGCTACTTTCCTCAGGCTGCCTCCACTCTGTCAAATTGCATTATTGAATCGTGTTGCAGATGTGTAAGTTTCCTCAATCAAAACTATCAATGTGTTCCTATCTCTATAGATTGAGAGAAGTAGACTCTTTGGTTAAGCTTTATTTTCTGTGATATGTGTTTTAACATCTAAAAGTACAACAGTTAATTTGTTGTATTTGTTGTGAGTTATGTGCATTAAATTTGTGGTTCAACTTTCTCTTTAAACAATTTATTATTTTTTTCTTCTTCTTCTCCAGGGTTCCTAGCTTATAAGTATTGTATTTATGTTTTAACGTTGTTTATGCCTGAGTCATTTTCAGCTTTGTGTTTTAACCTTTTGGATCCATGTCTGCTCTCTTGTTCTTCTGTCTCATCACCTTCTTCTCTAAATCTCTCTAGATTTCTAAGTTCTCTAAACTGGTGCTACATCAAGTTTGTACTCACCCCAAAGACGAGTCATGGTAACTTTTGTTTGCAGGTGTCATGGACTGAAGGGTTTGTCTTTGCATCGCTGTTCGCTGATCTATTCATCAAGCATTATCCCAGAGCTGATTGGAAAGTGTAAACATTTGGAGCTGTTGTCATTGAGGGGGGGCAGTAATAATTTGAAGGAACTCCTTTTACAGATCAGCATTCACTGTAAGAATTTCTGTCGTTTACTTGTGTTGAATGCTGTAATTGGTAGAGAAGATGCATTGGCAATTGTTAACTTGGTTCCTAATATTAAGTACTTGAGCTTGAGGAAGTCATACATACATCGGGATAATCTTGTCACATTATTCCGGTGCTGCAAAGAACTTGTGCTTTTGGATGCTAGGGATTGCTCTGGTTTTGATGGCGGTGATGTTGAAATATTAGCGCTTGCTTCTCAAATTGATAAGTTCAGCTGTGAGGGTTCTAGAAATGGTGACTGGAAATCATGACGCTCTTTCTTGGGAATGTGTTTGGAAGAGTTTGTATGACGTCATTGCCGTTGAATGTTCCTTTCGTGTGCAAGTCTTGGTACAGTACAGAGCAAGCCTAAACTCTGCATGCTGGCAACATCTCGTTTTCCCTGAGGTTGATACTGAGATTGACATTGACACTCATGCTTTGGGGTTCTGACGATGAATCTAAAGCTTAGATTGACAGGGGAATTGATCGTTGCTGTTTTGAAACCTTTATGAATAGATTTTTATGTGAATATCGAATCCATGATAGTTGTTTTTCTGGCACTCAATATATAAAGTTTGTAGTCAATCGTATCAGAGGACATGCAACTTTCTCAGGCTACCTGGAGTACGTACAGAAGAAGCATCAATGTTTGAGAGTAAGTATCATGGTCACCGGGTGAAGTTATTTTTGGTATTGGTAAGTCTTGATGAGTATTTAATCAACTGCAGTTTCAAAACTGAGATTGAACTACAGAACTTTCCATGCCAATGTCCAAATTTTCACTGATGACAGATTACTACAGAACATAAGTCACACGTGGTCAACATCCACTGCAAGATTTTTTATGGTTTACACGTGTTCAGTGCTTGTATTGCATTAATAGAGAGAAGGCATTGGCAATTGTCAACCTGGTCGTTCCGTTTTTTTATTATCATCCTAATTTTTTGTTAATTTTGAGGTGTGTTTTGCACCCGGTTTGATTCATGTATGAGACAATCTTGAAGTGTATTTAGCAATCAGCGTTAATGTCATAAATTATTTGTGATACGATACTTCTCTCATTGCCCATAAGGAGAAACTCCTCATTGCTTTCTATTATGGCTCAACAACGTCTTTTTGTTTGATTGTCAAAGGTAGATTTTCCCTTCACTCTTATTATTTTTAAGGGTTTCAACAAGAATGACAACAACAACAAAAAATAAAAAATAAAAAAGTTGGCATAAAGTTGCTAATAAATCTGACGTAAGTTATAACAAAAAGCCTATCATCAATTTGGTGTAGTTATGTTGGGGAAAAATAAATTGGTGCAGCTATGGATTTGCGAGCATTACCACTCAACCTTTATTATTGTTAATTGAATCCATTACTTTTTATCAAAAAGCCAAAAACCCATAGCTTTCATCTCTGACGAAACTCACATCTCTATAGCTTTCACTTTTATTTGCCTCAACTCACTTTTCTTTTTCTTTTCTTCTTTTTAAAATTTCTTTCCTCAGTCAAAATTTTGAGTCTTTGTGACCCTTTGCAACTTTAACCTAAATAATTCCCCTACAACCAAATTTGTCATAGACAACATATGTTTTTTTTTTTTTTTTTTTTTGGGTTTTTTTGGGAAAAGCGATATAGGATCAAGTAAATTTTGAGTTGTAGAGACTGTACCAAACATATCTTTTTGTCACTTGAAGGAAAAATGCACTTTTGACAATTAAAAAAGAAAAAAGAGGACACATGTCACTTTATTATTGGGGCTTGAGTCACAATATTAGGTAAATGCATACTTCCTCGTCATGGGCAAGGAGAGAAGCATTGTCCATTTAAAAGGTCTTTTCTTTAAAGTTGATATTGATACTCTATAAAATTCAATTTGTCCCTTTAGCAAGTGATTATTATTATTATTATTATTATTTAATGATACAAAGAACATTAGTAAGTATAAACTTTAGATTTCTCTCTATTAATTACTTAGACTATCTGTAAAATTTCACTTGCAATGTTGTGATTTATTTCATTACAATAGATGCAATTGTAGTAGAGGGTGCAATGTGATGAACCCTCTATTGCAATTGCAATTGCAATAGGCCAACCATGAGACTCACGTGCCAATTAAAAATAGAAAAAAAAATACAACAATTAATGTGTTATGTCGTTAATGCATTGCATTAGGCTAACCATGAGACCCACATCTCTATTGAATTGCATTAAACCTTTCTTTGCCTATATTTTTTAAAGAAAACAATCCAAATAAATAAGTTTGGCATGAGATTAAATTTTTTTTGTCTCAAATATATTCAAAATTGGTCTCTTTTTACATATATATTTTTTAAAATATTTCAATGGTACAATTTGTTATTAAATTTATCCATTTCATTTTATTTGAGTATGAACAAAAAATATATATATATGTAAGAAGATACAACTACTGATATGAAGCTATTGAAATATACCATTGCAAGTAAAAATACAGTTCAATTCAATAGATGTCAAAACAGTTCACTTGATTGAACTATTGAATAACCATTGTGGACGCTCTTAGGGTCAAAGCAACCTCTCGTTTTTCCAGATATTGAAAAAAGAAAAGGGCACAAAAAAATATTGAGAAAATGATCGAGTCTAGCTCTCCCTCATCGGAAAAAACTTGTAAGAAACAGGGATAACATTGTTTTGCTATCTCTGACCAATCACATATTGGCATATAAAAATTTTATCATGTGTGGCATGCTGTGATTGGCCAGGAATAACAAAATAGTGTTATTTCTGTTTCATATAAGTGTTTGTCCTCTTTCATTAAGAAAAAGTTCATATCTTCAATAGAAGGGGACTGTGTGTATATATATATATATATATATATATATATATATATGGTTAAGGGACTCTCAAATAAGTTTATTTGAGGGACAGTCGTGTAAGGTCCACCATACATTGTATTCCATTAATCCAAACTAGGGGTGGGCAATCAGACCGATAACCCGAGAAACCAGCCGAACGAAACCGATATGGGTGGTTTGGTTCGGGTTTTTTAGATATTTTAGTTTATTTCCAGTTTTAAATATGGACCAAACTGGTCAATCCGATTCAGTTTGCGGTTTGAAGTTTTCAATCTCCTTGCTCCCTACTTATCTCCTGAAAACGTAGTCTGCTTATCTCTTGGAAAACTTCAAATCGCATTCAAGTAAACCAGTCATTCTGCCAAAATAATAAACTTCACTCTTTTATGGCATTGAAGAAAGAAAAGATCTTTTGAAAGATCTACTACCCATTATTAAAGATTAAAAACCCCACTCCAACATTTCCTATGAATATGAGAGGATTTGAACAGACCAATGGACATCCAAAAAAATCAATAAAAACAAAAACTCTCAAAGTCACAAGTAACAAACTCAAAAAGATCAACTGATCTCAAAATCTTTCAGACCCTAAAGCAACCAAAAGCTCTTTGATCCACAAGAAACAAATCAGCTAGAATTCAAATCTCTGGTTTCAGTTCAGTTCAGAGAAACAATTTTACAAAGTGAGATTTCTCTCATTACGAATTTGATTTAGCACAAAGCCAAGTCAAGCAAAGTCCGGGTTTTTACAAAAATTAAAACCTCAACAAATTTACAAAAAGCCTTGGTCAAGCAGAATAGGCACCATAGCACAACTCTAGCTCAGTGATCATCAATCCAGCCACTTATATTCTCTCCAAACTAAAGAGGTCTCAATTCTGCCCGTTCAACAAGCCTTCCACGGCTCAGAATAACTTGAAGCTCTGCCAAACTCAAACGTTAGTATCGATTTCCAGATGAAACTCATTAGTTGAAGGTGTTGACGATTCAATCTAGTATAGACACATCCAATCTAGCCAAGTTCAGAGGCAGCTACCTAGGCAGAAATCGAAGTCCAACGTTTTGTTTTCTTTTTTGAAGTTTCCATTTCTGTTTGAGTCCTATAATAGGCAGTTCTGCCTAAACAGTTTTTCTTTTATATCTATTCTGGCCAGAACTACCAATTTTGTATTGTGAAAAATTGTGAAGTCCTCACTAGTCTGAGGCAATAAAAGAACTTATTGGGAGATATTCCTCACCCAAATTCACAATTGCTTGTTTAAGAATCAGTAACTTGGGCACAAGTTATCTATTTTTTAGAAGTCTGCTAGGGTTTTAAAACTGCTAGCAGTGGCACACTTACACACAAAAGAAAGTTGACTTGTTGACCACCAATGGTTGTCAAGCCAATGGGGAACTTTACCCTACCATCACATGATTAAAATCAAAACGGGTGAACACTTCCTCTCCATTCATTGTATTATCACTCTCTTAAATTAATGACTCACCTAGCCTAAGAATCTTCAATCATGAAATTATTCTTATCCTCATCATTCATTGTTTCATCACTTTCTTCCTCATTCACCTTATTTTCATCTTCATTCTTCTTTTGTTCCTCTTCAAAATCCAAAATCCGTCACTTCCTTGGAGTAGCCGAGGACTCAAATTTTGGAAGCTCAAATGAGAAAACATCCTTCATAAAAGTTGTTCATTTATGTGATTCCTATAATATTCTCCAATTTCACTTCAATCCGATTAGTATAGACTCTGAAAAGTTGGTTTGATGTTTACCGCATTTTCTGATTTCGTAGTAGTATGCTCGGCTTCAATATATTTCTATGATTTCCTGTACTTAAATGACTTTGGTTCCTTCATCAAAGTTGTTCAAAATTCTGTCTATTATAACATATCAAAAATGTAGATTGATCTAACTTCTATGGCCATCTTGGGAAAGTTTAGAGTAGAACTTGTTCATTGATTATATTGAATTTCTTGTTATAGATGTGTACTTTCTCTCAAATGGCTTGTTACTTGTCATTCAATTGATCAAATTAGCCACTATCATCTAAAGTAAATGATTCTTTGAAGATATGAAGCTCATCTTCTTATTTTCTCTTTGAGTACTAGTTGTAAATCAAGTGTTGGTTAGAATGACTCAATGACATATATCTCTTTCAAAGTGTGTTTCTGTGAAGTTCTAAATTATTTCGATGTGATTTTGTTCCAATTTCATTATGGGATTTTGTTACATCAAAATGGATATCTCAAGGGTTATTTCAAAGTTGGTTTTGTGTCATTTGAAATTAAATTGATTTTTTTTGTCAAATTTCAAAGTAGAGACTATGCTTCTGAAATTGTTCTGATTCTGTTGCATGTCTTGTTTTGAATACGTGTTTGAAAATTTCCTGAACTTGGATTTTCATGAAATTTTAATATGTTTTACTTTCACGTATTTTCTTCAAATCTGGAAAATTTTATCCAGTTTGGTTGTAAATTGACATGCTTCCTTAACCCCAATTTCCATCAAATTTTCACATTTGTAGTTTTTCTACGTCTAGTTGTGATCTGAATTTTTTTACATTATTTTGATTTAAACTCAATATTTAGTGAATTTTCAAAGTTAACGTGTTCCAACCTAAATGTTTAGCATAATTGAAGTTTTTGTTTTAAATTGATGTTTAAAATTTTCTTTACGAGTCTAGAGCCGAACCACTTGATTTTAAACATCCCAAAGAATAGAACTATTATAGGAGGGAATATATTAGTTTTTCCTTGATGGTTGGTTCTATGCTTGCTTGGACGTGAGGTTGAGGGAGTATCAATCGGGTCGAACAACTTATTGAGCGTATTATGGGGTTTTATGTCTACGTGCTCCAATAGGACACTCAAACGTGTTTCCTTATTTCCAGTGAATTTTAATCAGTAAATTATCTTAATTATGTGTTCTACTCTGCGTACTTTCGAGGATGAACCCGCACAAGGTTAAGCTAGCTAGACACGAGGTAGGGTTTCCTGATTGCCAATGATTGGGCTATATCCCATTTAATCTTGGTGCTTATATATAGTGCTATAAATATGAATATTATTGTTGCTTTGCTTGGTGAATATTATTTGATGTTTCTTCATGAATATTATTTGATGTTGGGTGAATATTATTATTCATGTGATTAAATCTGAAATATTATTGTTATTATCTGTGTTATTATTTAGCAGAAATAAATGACGTTTGCGCTGCATTACATATGCATCATAAATATAGTGGTGTTAAGGGTGTATGTCGTTTGACGTATATCTAAGGGGTGGGTGAAGGCCTTAGATATATATGAGTAAAAAAAAATGTGGAATATATTTAGGTGACGAGAGCAGGGCTTGAATATATTGAGGTGATGAGAGAAGGGCCTCTAATGAAAAGTGAAAGTTGAGAAATTCGTAAACAAAAGAAAACTAGGTTAAGTGACGGATAGGCGCTAGTTCATATTTTAGGGTATTCGGAGCCGCAGTGGCAAAACGCATGGTATGGGACATGCAGACTTGTTGCCCTAAGGTATGAATTAGTGGGATTAGAAGGGAGTGAGTTCATGTCATCACTACATATGCAAATTTATTTATCTGGTATGGTTGCATAATTTCTGTATGTTGTGTTGTTTGATGGATGCCACTTTAATTAACTGTGATAGTTGACCTTGATGGGTGATGTTACTTTACATAGGCATTAGATATGCTCATATCATAATGAGATTGTGCAAGGAAGTTCAAGGGGGAGGGGGGGGTGGAGGGGGGGGGGGGTGGGTGGGTTCAGCCAAGTTACTAGGCTTTTGTTGTTGATTTGTGTAATTAAAATTTATAAGTAGTCAACCGTTTGATAAAAATCTTAGTGTGTATTTAATTACGAGCTACTGCGACTCTGATTTTGTGTTGTTAATTAAATTTGTATTATTTGTAGCTCTACATTTGAATTATTCAAGAATATTTCTCATTTTCGAATCGGCTCGTGACAAACCTCCACTAGAGCAAGCAAGTTTCTTTGTAAATGCTAATATAATAAGTTTATTTACCACTTTCTAGTAGAATAAATATTATAAAAAAAATTTGGGATCTCTTTTTTTTTCCCACCACTTCTTCTCTCTTTTTGGATGACTTCTTCTTTTTTCCTTTCTCTCTCTTCTTTCTTCTTCCTCACTCTGTTTCTATTCTGTCACAACTTTTTCATCTTCTTCTTCCTCCCTCTCTTATTCATCTCTTTCTTATTTGTATGGTAGTCCAAAAAGAACAAAATCGTACCAGCCATTTTTACAAAGGGAATAAATTGTGGAGGTGTGGAGGTGGAGGGGAAAGCTGTGAAGTCGTCAAACACAGATCCCGTAGGATCCGTTCAATATTCTCGCAACCTCCATCTCAGTTCCTTCGCAGCCACCAGTTAATCACCAAAACCGAGAAAACCAAACCGTTTGACTGGTTAACCGGAGTTGGTGGTTTGGCTCCGATGTCAAAAATCTCTCCACCGAAAGCTACGGTTCGGCATACGGTTTTGGGTAAAACCCGAACCAAACCAAACCTTGCTCAGCCCTAATCCAAACTGTCTATTTTGTAGATATTCATTAGAAGATCATCTCTACAAAAAATCACTTGAATCTGATATCATTTGACCACTCAATTAAATTATTAAAACATTAGTACTTTCTTGAAGCACCGTGTTCATTGATTTCGTAGGACACCATTAGATGTATAAATGGTTTCCGATTTTCCTAATTATTTGCAAGGATGATCTATGAATGAAGACTTTAAAAATATATGATTTTGATTGTTGAAAAAAATTTGAAGGGTATCCTAAAGGGTGTCTTAAAATCAAATTATTTAAAAGATCCCTTAGGGAACTATATATGTACCATTATAGAATACTACGTCAGTACAGTCAAGTGGTACATTTTGTACACGTTTTTTTATAAAAAAAATAAAATAGAAACTTCATTAGATAAACTTTAACAGTACAATCGAAGACATCAATAAGACATCTAAAATACCAATCCCAAGAGGGCAACAAACTAACATGCTAAATGCAAAACTAAATCGGACAAAAGCTGCACTAAAACTACTAGCACACATCATCACAATTAGCCATAAACCCAAACACAGCCCACAAACCCAACATAACCAAAACCCTAAAATAACCCATGAGCCTAAACGAATACTACCACTACTTGAAGAAGCGCCGTCACAACCATACCCACCGCTGCATCCTTAATAGATCTGAGGAAAATATGATTTCCAACGATCTACCTGCGCATAAGAGCAAACAAATAAATGAAAACAACAACTTGCCAAAGAACAATTGGATATAGCTTATTATTATTATGATTATTATTATTGTGATTATTATTATTATGATTATTATTATTATCACTATTATTATGATTATTATGATTATTACTATTATTACTATTATCACTATTATCACTATTATCACTTTTGCCTACTTTGTTTGCTTATATCCTTGGAAATCCTCTAATTACTTAGGGGCAAAGCAACCTCTCGTTTTTTTCCAGACATTGCAAAAAGAAAAGGGTAAAGAAAAAGGAGAAAAACGATTGGGTCCAGCTGTCTCTCATTAAGAAAAAGTTCATATCACTCTGCTTTTGAAAAAGTTATATAAAGAGGCGAGCATGGCTGTGCTTTCTTGCCTTTTATAATCTGGGAGTTCTATTTACACTCCATTTGCATTGCATGTATGTATATCTCAACAGAAACTCTTTGATTTAAGGTCATTTTCGTATCTCATTTTCTCTTTAATTTTTTTATTTATTTAAAGCAGATTAGTAGTAGTGGTCTGGTCTTTGCATCTATAGCTTTATTAAATTTTAATTTCATTTCTTTCAGATGGATGAAAAAAGATGGGAAGACTTAAACATAGATTGTATGGTGAATATTTTGGGAAGAGTTGGTATGGAGTCGCTGCTTTTGGATGTGCCTTTCGTATGCAAGTCGTGGTACAGAGCAAGCCTCAATCCTTCATGCTGGGAACGTCTCATTTTTCCAGACATTAAAAGATTGGAGTATTATTTTATAGATGAAAATTGGGTTGATGATCCCTTGCTACAAAGATTTATCCACCAATATCAAATTGATGAGAGTCATTTCTCGACCACTGCGTTTATTAAGTTTGTCGTCAATCGTAGCAAAGGACATGCTACTGTTCTCAGGCTACCTCCATATGCTTCAGAAACAGACTTGAAATATGTTTCAGATGTGTAAGTTTCTCCTCCAGTATTTCAGCATTTATGTTAATTTTCTTTTTGAATGTTCTATTGGGTTTTAATTTGCTCCCCCGGCATATAATTGGGTCATCGTAAAATGTTTGTTTTTGCATGTGTGGTGACCTCAAGAGTGTTGGATTGCCTGCGGATTTAGTTAACGACAAATCAGGTGTAATAACAGAGCTGATTGGTAAGTGGAAACGTTTGGAGTGGTTGATGTTGGGAAGCAGCTATGATTTGGTGAAAATCCTCTCACAGATCAGCATTCACTGCAAAGACTTTTGGGGCTTACGCGTATCTAATGCTTATATTTTTAATGATGAGGCTATTGCAATTGTCAACTTCCTGCCTAAGATTAAGCATTTGATCTTGAGGAAGGCTGAAATTCATCGGGATGCTCTTATGAAGTTACTGCAAGGTTGCACGGAGCTTCGGGCTCTGGATGTCAGTGATTGTATTGGTTTTAGTGAGGATGATGAGGAAATTTTAAAGCTTGCTTCTCATATTACTAATTTCAGCTGCAAGGGCTCTGAAGAGTATGATTATGATGATTACTATGACGGAGGCAGGATTTCGTTAGACGAAGGGGTATATGATGGATATTATTCTGATTAGGCGTGCCGGACTGAATTTTCTTTGGAGAGTTTACTGTTGTTTACCTTGTGTTAGCCATGAGGCACCCCAATAGGAATATGAAAGAAGCCCTATGCATTACTAGTACATATTATCTTCCTGTCAAGTATAACTAGTCCCTTTGTCTGCAAGTCATGATTGAATTTTTTTATATAATTTTTTCTTTAATTTTATAGTAAATTTGGCTTACACCATTTAAATTCAATTTGCCATACCTAAAACCCTTCATTTTTTGTTCCTATAAATAATACCCAATTTGTATAAGTAAAAACCCATGACTAGGATCCAACTCAGCAAGTTACCTAATTAAGCATAAAATCTGATTTATTGTACTTTTCAGATTCCAAAAATACCCCCAACTAAGCCATTATTGCATTTTGTATATTAATGTAGGAATCAATATGGAAACAGTTTTAATTGGATTGTATATAATGACAGATGTTGAATTTGGAAATATCTCCAAATGGTTGTAATAGATGTAGGAATTAATTTTGGAACATTTTAAAAAAAAATTAACAATAAATTCAAATTTGGGTAATTGGTTTGTTTAATAAAATGTTTATGTTATTTTCTTTTTATGAATTATACATGACTAATAATCCACTTTATAATTGTTTATGAATAAAACTGTACATACTAATTATGTTGAAAAAATAATGTACCTATTTGTTTTATGAAAAATATAATTTACCTAGTATGAAAAGTGTACATAATTATCTATTCCAATATACCTACATTAATTTTAATGTACTTACAATTAGGATTTAGGTATTATATGTCATCCAATGTACCTACCATTTGAATAATATACCTACTACGAATAAAGTACCTATTATTTATCTAAATAATGTACCTATTTTTTACTATAAATAATATAGCCTTTTTCTCTGAATAAAGTACCTATTATTTGTTTTATCAAACGTAATTTTTTTAAATGAACCTATTTTCTCTCTCCAAATAACTTACCAATTTTTTTCCTCTAATAATGTACCTATCTTTCCTCTTCAAATAATGTACCTATATTTTATATAAATTATTGTGTACCTATTTTTAATTATGAAAATATACGCAATTACAAAGTAACTGACTTTTTTTTTTGGGGTAAATAATATACCTATATTTTATATGTATATATTTATATTATATTTTTCATAGGTACATTATTGGATATGTAATTTACAGATTTTTTTTTGGTTTGCAATTTTAGGGGGCGAGATGTGAGAGGGAATGACAACTAAAAGAAATGGGGTGATTGATATGCTATTAATAGGGAGTATATTAATTACAATTATGGCAGTTAATGAAATGCTTGAAATAAATTATAAATAAAATATGAAGTTTAGTGGCAACGATGTAAAAACATAGAAATACTACGACCTCTTATATCCTACTGGTCATTTAAATTTGAATTTGGGTTTTCAACGTAGTTATATAGATAGATAGGTTTGTGTCTAGGGGATATCAGTTGTATGGGCTTATATTAGAGTCTCTCTTAATTTTATCTTTGTAGTACGTACCTAGCAAAAACAATTGCCGAGTTCTTCAGTTAAACCAAAGCATGTCCTGACAGTGAGTTCCTATGTACAATGACGACTCCACAAAAGAGACTGGACTTAATTCCAACTCTTTTAAACACATTCATTCAACACTCCATAACTAACTCCTCCAATGACCCATCTTTCTTCATCCTCCTCTGTCTACCAGAAATGCCCATACGTAGAAACAAAGTTATACCACGTCCAAGTCACATTTTTTGTTTGCGTAGTTCGACTCATTTTTCACTTTTGTTCTTGTTAAGTCCGAAAGTCTAACATTCTCAAGAAAAATAAATTAAATATTCACGTTATTAATTGATTTGACTACAAACATTTTAATTAGACACAATAAAAACCTCACACGTCATGATTTCATCCTGCCACGTTGGATTTTAATTCGATACTTTCGACCCCAAAAAAATAAATAAACCTTTACTTCGATTTCTTACCCTTTGGTCTTTTCTCCGCTGTTCCTTGCAGATCAAACTCAAGCACTCAATCAATAGGTTTGTTTACTCTTTCTTGGAAGGAATTTTCTTAATTGATGATTTGTTTCATGCCTCCATCTTCTTGATTTTGTGATTTTTTTCTTCTGCTGGGACTATAAGATGCGGAAGAGGAAGAATTCTTCTGGGCGTTTGACTTTTGCTGTATTTGCAAGCCTTAGGTTTTGCTGGAGAAAACGCTTTGTATATTTTGCGCACGGGCAGAAGAGCGAACTGGTTGTTGTCTTCTTTCACGTCTCTCCTCTCTCGCTTTCATTCTATGTCCCAAAACAACTCAAAGGGCGAATCCCGACCTGCCCCAACCCAAGAAGCTTTACCAGGTATGAGTTTTTGTAAAACTCTAATCGAGTAATTTAATCAATGTTTAATGATTAAAGTTCTCAGCTTTCTATTCTTCCCTTGATTTTGGAGATTAGGCAATTGGCAGTAAATTTTGGTTCTTTGGAGTGGAATTGGATCTCTCGTTCAGCCAATAGAGCTGCTCATGAGGCAGCAAGGATTGGAAGTGGAGCGGTGGTGCAAGTTAGCTGGGTCGATAGACCACCACCGTCTCTGGTCAGCATTTTGGTAGCAGATGGTCTTCCTGGACCTCCAGGTTTTTGAGTTTCTTTGTTATGCTGTCAAGTTTAGATAATTTCTCCACCTAGTTGGCTTGTGGTTAGGTGGTATCTTTCTTGGCTTTGTTCTTGTCTGTTGTTTGCCCATGGTGTTTTTCCCCTGTTCTTGAATGAAGATGCATTTCGTCTGAAAAAAAAAAATGTGTTGCAGATGTGTAAGTTTTCTCAATCAAAAAAATCAATATGGTCCTATATCTATAGATGGAGAGAACTAGCCTCCTTGGTTAAGCTTTATTTTATGTTGTTTTAACATCTAAAAGTACAAAAGTTAATTTGTTATGAGTTATGTGCATTAAACTTTTAGTTCGACCTTTTATATCCAGGGTTTTAACATCTATGTATTATTATTGTTCTTATCCAGGGTTTCTAGTTTTTAAGTATCGTATTTGGGTTTTAATGGTGTTTATGTCCGAGTGAGTTTCAGGTGTGGTTTAACCTCTTCGATACAAGTCCGCCCTCTTATTCTTCTGTGTCATCACCTTCTTCTCTAAATCTCTCTAGATTTATATGTTCTCTATACTGTTGCTACATCAATTTTTACTATGTCAAAGCAACAGTGAGTCATTGTAACTTTTGTTTGCAGGTGCCCTGGACTGAAGGGTTTGTCTTGGCACCGCTGTTTACTGATGTTTTCATTTTGCATTATCCTAGAGCTGATTGGAAAGTGTAAACAATTGGAGCTGTTGTCATTTGAATAGGAAAATCAAACCGTACACCGGCCCGTAAGTTGCAAGAGAAAAAAGAGTACCTACAACATCGATACTAAAGATTTAAACTTAAAACATTGCTATAATGGAAATGAGGATATCTCCCTGGGAGATGAAAGCTTAAACGGCCCTTACGTACCTCAGATTGTTCAGAGAATCAAGGTCCAATGAATACAACTCCTCAACCTGCAAGGCCACACCAAGGGCATCATGGCGTACGTGAAAGAAGTGAACCATAATCCAAGTCACAACGTAACACTTGGATTCTGACTACCATGAAAATTAAGTAAACAATTTCTTTGAAAAGTAAAACTTCAACAAAGCTTAGTAAAGAAAAAGGGGTTAAGTATTGGATATAGTTTACATGTTTTAGTTAAAGATAAAGGAGCGAAGACATCTCCAAGAAGCACTTGCAGTCCATTTATATACTATAGCTGTTTCTATTTTTCGAAAATAATAAATGTGATAAATTATCCAAATCCTATACACTATCACTCTGCATCATCAAATCATAACTTCCATCATCCATCCAATCCCAAATGTATTTTTTTAAACAAAAATTATGGTAATCAAGCAAGTGTTGTCAACAATTTAGGCTTCCACTCATACATGTAAAGATACAAGAGAAAAGCTTGTTTAGAAGTCAAATTGGAATTTCTCCAAGTTTCTTTGAACTCAATAAAGCATGTCAGGTCTGCCAGTGCAATTTCTATATCGAAACAATGAGTGAATACAGCTCCATGTCAAGATTTACGCTCAAAAGAGGGACCGGCGAGCTGATATCAAGATATGTAAGGCATTTGATGTAGGAGCAACATCAGGAAGTATAACAGAACGTGATAAATATTTTACAATTTATCAGCGTGAATAGATGCTCACCTAAACTTTCACACACACAGAGCAAATTTTTCTGAAATTTACCTGGGTCGGACTCAATTCAAACAAAGAGGGTTTTATTCCTCTATTTCGGTTCGAAACGGGGAGGTTAGCAAGTTC